GACGAATGTATCGCGAAGAGCTGCAAATGTGTGTATGGCTCGGTGTATGGGATAAAAACCAAACGTACTTGCAGGTTCGGTGAGTCCGGGATTGGACGCACCTCCCTGCAAGTACGTTTGTTATAATACCTATAAAAATTTGACAAATTCAAAATTTAAACTCCAGGGGCGGTTCTGGTCTGATTAGTTAGGTAGTGGTTTTCCAGAGGGAGTGCATTACTACAGGGGAGGGGTGTATACTGCGGCAATTTTTTCCGAATATTTTAAATCTACGGTCCTTGCCATTTCCAGCGTTCCCTGCACTACATTTATTCGTTAAATTTGTCCTCACAGTACTTGTACTTCGGGCAAAAATTGAATATTTTTTCTCGTGTTCGAAAATCAATCGTTTCAATATGAAAAGTAGTATTCACAACACAAATATGGGATGCTGAGCAACACTACGCGGTAGAATTAGTCATTACCGTCTTCGAGCCTGCAAGTGAAGTATTAAATGTTACAGATGAACTCGATAGCTAGCTTATACGTGATTCCAATGTTTGCAACAAGATGATTTGCTGTATTAGCAAACGATTTGATTCGCAAGAAGACAAGAATATTAACAAATCATTTTGATTTTTTCCGTTATAATTATCGCATTTTAACGATGTTATTAAGGTTCAGAACACTTTTGAGTGTTAATTTTACCTAAATTTTTTTTATTGGTTTCAATGAAAGCATTAGACTAGTTCTACTATCTGACCAAGTTTGAACGAAAAATGTAGAAAACTCGCAGAGTTATTTAATAAAATACATTTCGCTGCAATAAGAAAAACATTGAAAATGTAATATTCAAATTCAATTTTCTCCCGAAACATTTTACGGTAATTACTGATTTTCAATTGAGTTGTGCTCCTGCGAGTTTTAACCAATTTTTCTCAAATTTTCACAGGTCATAGCTAAATACGTCAGTTTCAAAATTGTGTTCGGCTTTTTTTTAATTTTGGATATTTTGAAAATAAAGAGCAATTCACTCAAACAATTCAGAAATATATTGCAGTCGTCAAAGAAATCGCCATATCAGCGGAATGACGAAATAAACAAAAAATTCCGAACACAGTTTTTTAGAACAACTATTTTACTGTATAAAAATGATATTTTCATAAATATAACTTAAAACCAGCAGGAGCACAACTCAAAAGCGTAACGGTACAGCGATTTAAGATTTTCTTCAATAATTCTTACATTATTTTATTGTTTGTTAATTTTACAACTTTACCATATTTTGCATGCACTGGAGAACATTTGGTGAAAATTTGATGAAAATCGGACTGATATTGAGCGCGCAGTAGCGATTTTGCGCAAAACGCCAAAAAGGTTGTCCTGTAACCTTAAGTGTTTTAAACATTATTTTTGCTTTGGCTTTCACTCCTTGACAATCTCGAAACCAGAGCCTGCAATCCTCTGAGGAGACTTGCTGAGGCTCTGGGAAACACCAGTGAAAGTCGGGCTCTGATTGGTTGTTTTTCAAGTGCTAATTATTATTCAAACTGTGAGCCGTGTATTTTAAATAGTGATTCAAACATCGTTTAAAATTAATATAAAGTTTATTTCTCTTTGTGTATTATGTTTAAACATATCAATGTAACACACAGCATAACTTTAATAAACCGTATTAAGCTTCCCTAGCTTCTCATATGAAATCAATAGACTATTCACATATTGATATGCCAATAACAAAATGTAGAATAACAACAGTGCAGCATTACCATATAAGGTCATGATAAGCCGTTGCTTATAATATTTAAAATAACACAACAATCCATGATTTACCATAATTAAACAAGTTAAAATAAATCACTACCAGTATCTTACAACAATTCAACACCATGGCAAGTGTTCTTTGAAGAATTAAAGTCGTAATTGGCTTAAACAACGGTATAATTCATGTTTGACGGCAGTAATGTCTATCTATAAATGTCGAACGGAGTACTGGATCCAAATGGACTGATTCTCGTGCAAAAGTCGCCGGTGTTTCCCAGAGCCTCAGCAACTGAAGCCTCCACAGAGGATTGAGGGCTCTGGTTTCGAGATTGGTTCCTTGAGTGATTCCCATCCTAATATATTCAACACAGTTTGTTGATTTACCTCATTACATGTGCTATAATACGAGCAGCTCTGTTGTGAAGCTTTTTCAGACGCGTGGATTCACAAGCTAAGTACATTCCAAACTTCACAACAGTACCTGAAGTAGGGTTGAATTTTACCGTTGTACACGGATATGAGTGTTTTTCCTGAACAAATTCTTTAATGTGTTTGAGAGCACAATAATATTCCACATGACATTTTTTTTACATAATTATAGTATCTGTATTACTTTTCCAACACAGATTTTCATCAACAGTCACACCCAACGTTTTGCATTGAATCTGCTTCATTGGTTTGTTTTGAATGTGTACTCTTAGTTGTTGAACAGAAGCTTTTTTTCAGTATCTGTTTAGCACCAATGATTTTAAATTCAGTTTTTGCCACATTCAAGCTCAGTTTGTTTGCCATGAGCCATTTGCGAAGGTTTTGTATAAAGCTGAATTTACTGCATCTTCTATATCACTTAAACACTCATCAACTGCTGCGGTATTTGTGTCATCAGGAAACAACCGGGGTTTGTTTTATTCAGTGGCCCCAATATAGACCCTTGGGCCACACCACATGTTAAACCATTTTCTCTGGAAATAGATCCATTGACTTCACGTCTTTGAGCACGACCAGTTAAATATGATTTTAGTAATAGAAATGAACTTCGGATGATTCCAACTAGTTTTAGTTTTTGCAATAAGATCTCATGGTCAACAGTATCAAAAGCTTTTTAGGTCTATGAATACAACCAAATTGAACAATTTAATTAATATCGATGTTTATCTACGAATCATTCGTACAGTCAAGTAAAGCTGACGCAGGTGAATTAAATTTTCTGAAACCAAATTGATGTTCAGAAAATATGTTGATAACGGTTAAATATTCGAGTAACCTGAGTATCAGCCTGACACAAAACTTAACCTGATCGCTTTCCACCCACAGCAAAATTTATATTTAGTCTCCAATCAAAATTTCGCAGGAGAAATTTAAATTTCACACCGACGACAACAACAATCTAATTATAGCATAGACAGCCCACTAAACGGCTGAATTTAAATTAAAACTGCAATGAACTTATAAAATTAACAAAAATAATCACAAATTAGCGAAATATATTGCAAATGTAGCTTATATTAAATCGCCACCCGATTGCTCTCTCTCCTCCGCAGAGGTTTCAGTGACTACAATGAGCTTTACATGGCGCTTACCGTATTTATCAACAAACTGACGTATAATTATTATATATATATACTACTATATATATATATATATATATATACTTTATAACTATACGTCAGTTAGTCGATAGTGCAATCTGATGGCGATTTAATATAAGCTACATTTGCAATATATTTCGCTAATTTGCGATTATTTTCTAATTTTACTGCAGTTTTAAGTTAAATTCAGGCGTTTAGTGGGCTGGCTATAATTGTATAAAAATATATCAACAACAATAGTATAATTTAATTAGCACCAGCCAATCAAATGACAGATTTAAAAAATCGTTTGTCTAATCGGCCAATCAGACGAAAAAGCCAGAATCTGGCTTTTTACATGCGCCGCGGTAAACAATTGTGTCAGGCCGTCCTTCATTCGCCGCCGCCAATTAATCCTGGCGAATGAAAACATAAGGGCCTGATACTCAGGTTAATATTCCAGTATATAAAAATTTGAGTATATAAAATACGTCCCCATAACTTCACTAATAGCAGGCAACACAGAAATTGGTTGATAATTTCGTGGCAAGTTGCGCCAATTACTCTTGCAATCTTCCATTCATGTGGAAAAATACATAAAATAATTGCTTGATTAAATATACAAGTCAATGAATCAGAAATTAATGGTGCCACAATTTTAATTATCTTGCTGGATATTTTAACTAGGCCATGCAGTAGGTTTGCTACATACCAGACAGTTCACGTAATAAAAGACAAACATGATTTACAGTAAAAATGGCATTCTGTTATACCAATTTCTTCGGCTAAATTTGGTCCAATATTCGAAAAGAAGGTATTGAAGCCCTCTGAAATACCATCAGAGCTGGTTAATTTCATACCATTCAAGTCCAGTTCATTTAATTTAGTTGGTCGATTAATAGTATTAATTGTTTTCCAAGCAGCTTTCGATGAGATAAGGCGAGGGCAATGTAATGTGGCCGTAATAATAAAATTTGATTTGAAAAAGTCATAGTTTACCATCAACACGGTTTAATTTCCCAAGGTTTAATTTTAAAACGTCTTCTGTTACGTGTGTAATGAAACTGCCATTTGAACTGAAATTATTTGTGGGTGGGTCGCCTAGTTTTGGAAACGGGTGCAAAACTAAAATTACAAACTTATTTTCAGTCATTAGGTTCATTCGAAAGTAGCGTTCGATGATGAAAATGGCGTATGCTGCTCAGTAGTACTTAGAGAACTTTTACATGTATTTTGTCCTAGTGTCATTAGTTGTAATTAATGTTATTACAGTACGGGGTTTGCCTTGTTTGGACTTCGAGTCCGTCTGCCAATTCCTTATCTAATATAACTCGCTTTATCCTGTTTGTAATGTCTACCACACATTCGTTTTAACGTATATTTTAGTGAGTTAAATTAAAGCTCAAGATTATTATTACACTATCAACACACGTCCAAATTGCAAAAATGTGGGACATTTTAACACGTGAAGTTAACAGTATGTTAAACAAGGGACAAGTAAATAAAAACGTTAATAATTATGATAATGTTAAAAAATTAACCGAATGGAAAACCATTTGGTAAACCGGGTTTAACTTAAAGGCCACATATATATATTTTTAAATTCCCCATATTTGTCGTTTTGTTGTGAAACTGTACGTTCATTTAGAAGTGTTGTGAATGATTTCATCAATTGTTCTTACCACCTACCGTAATTATTACGATGTTTTCTTTCCAGAGACATTTTGGCAAGTGTCACACTAACACTTTTTTTATTATGATCACCATTTTCAGTGAACAGATCGCTGGTTTCAGTTTGTAGATCACAATTTTCAGTTTGGGAACCACTGTCTTGAGGAACACAACTTTCGGCACACAGACAGCCATCATCACCATGTCGATAACTGTATCCAGGACCGAATCCGCCATGCAGAAAACCGATTCTGTTATGTAGATCACCGTTTCCGGTATGTAGATCTCCGTTTCCGGCAAGTAGATCACCGTTTCCAGTATGTAGATCACCGTGTCCGGTATGTAGATCACCGTTTCCGGCAAGTAGAACACCGTTTCCAGTATGTAGATCACCGTTTCCGGTATGTAGATCATTGGTTTCCGTTGGCAGATGACCATTTTCAACATGTATTTCATCATTTTCGGCATGTAGATCACCATTTTCGCCATGCAGATTATTGTCTTCGACATTTTGACGTGCAGATGGTTCGCCACCTAATAAATAAAAATATTAAATTCTCACATAAAGAAATCTTTTGGAATTCTTAATCAAATATAAACACTGCAACAACGAGTTCACAGATTTATTAACTATTCGTATAAAAACTATTAGCCTTAAAAATTATTTTGTTTAAAATTTAACGGTTGGGGAATTTTAGATACATTTAAAGAAAATTTGTAAATCCGCCAATAAAACTTTTGATTAAAAAAATCGCGGACGAAAACTTTTGAATAAACGTTGTTATTATAAAAATTGACTAATGCTTTTGAAAAAGAATTCGGCAAATTTGGTTTCAAAATCGATGAAATATTGAAAAAAACCGTCCCCGGAAAACGAAAGAAGCACAAAATTTTGTATTTAACTTGAAAGGTAGGGTACCTTTATTATTTTACTGTGACAAACATATTCACGGACAATTTAAAACTTATTGGAAACTTCGAAAAATTCACTTCAAACAAATCGCAAAAACTATCCCGACTGTTGGCAGGGTTCGTAGCGGTCTTTGAAATCGTTGAAAGTTTTTAAATTTGAATGCAGGTCTTTGAAAATCTTTGAACTATTTTGGTCTTGGAGACTACGAAGCCTGGTTGGGCCTTGCCGTGATAGTCTTTTAAAACCATTTTGTTTTATACCCTGCAGATATCTCAATTTGAACGATACTGTTTTATTTTGATGTCATGTTTTCATTGTGCTGTATATTATAATTTCGCTGTATCGTGTTTTCGAAACTTGTAAAGTGAAAAGTGTATTAAAACAGTATTTTTACATTCCATTTTACCAATTTTCTCAGCCATTTCTTGAACAAATTAATGCTAAACAGAAACAATTTTTTTAATTCTGGTGAAAAAGTCATTCCACCATTGTGGTTATATTCTAAGCAGAAATCGAGAAAAATAACTTTCATTGTAATAAATGAATGATAATATTTATTCAGGAAACCAGCATCACAAGAAGTGTAAGTTGTTCAGATGGTTCCTACAAAACATTAAAATACAAAGTATACAATAGTATATATAGTGTGCGTGCAGTGTTTACATATTGGATATATATGATATACCAGAAAAATTATGATTATAAAGATACAGATTTGAGAAGTTCATTCCTAAAGGTTCCTAACTGTTCAATGGATCTAGTAGTATAGTCCAAATCGTTGTACTCTCTACAAGCCTGGTAAAGCAGTTTTTGTTTTCCTCAGTTTGTCTTTGGCTTCTAGAGGTAGCCTATATACAGGGTGTATCAGAAAAAACTGAACAGATTTGGAATTGCTCTCAATTTCGCAAAACACCTATTTGTATCCGGTTTTTTATATATATAGCTTCTTTGGGTACTTATAATGTAGAATAATGAAAAAAATTTCTTGAACTCAAATTTTGTGAACCAGGGGGGGGGGGGATGTCTTTTCCAACAAACTAAAAATGCCTCGCGCACAAAATTTAAAAGTTGTAATCATATTCAGACAATTTGATCTAGTTTAAGCCCTTTAACTATTCACGCAAAGTTACATTTTTCCTAAAAATCAGCTTTTCGCATGCTTAAATAATGCATTTGCCTAATTTGCATATGTCAGCAATATGCAAATTAGGTAAAGGCATTAATTAGGCATGCGAAAAGCTGATTTTTTAGAATAAAATAAATAGTTAAAGGGCTTAAACTAGACCAAATTGTCTGAAATTTTGTACAGTAATTAAAAACCCGACAAAGTTTCCATCTATAAACTCAAAATATGATTACATCTTTTAAATTTGGTGCGCGAGCCATTTTTAGTTTGTTGGAAAAGACCCTGGTCCACAAAATTTGAGTTTGAGAAATTTTTTTCATTATTTTACATTATAAGTACCCAAAGAAGCTATATATATAAAAAACCGTATACAAATAGGTGTTTTGCGAAATTGAGAGCAATTTCAAATCTGTTCAGTTTTTTTTATACACCCTGTATATCATCGAGATTAACTCTGTTAAATTATTTATAAATTTATATATGGTTATTATTCGGTGTAGTTTGCGTCGGTGGGTAGATGAATGCCAAGTGTAATTTGTTGAGGGCCTCAGTGGATGAGGATAGGTAGGGAGCGTCAAGAATGGTCTTTGTAGCCTTATTCTGGAGAACTTGTAGTTGATCCATTAAGGAGGAATTATGCTTGTCACCCCATATAATATCTCCGTAGTCAAATAGTGGAAGAATAAGAACTTTGTAGATGGTAAGTCTAGTTTTGAGTCAAATGGTAAGCTCTAGTTTTGAGTCTTCTTAGCAGTCCGATGCTTTGGTTAATTTTTGTTGAAATATTATTTAAATGGTCAGACCAAGTGAGATTTTCTGAGAAATTATACCTAGATATTTAAAGGTACGTTCACGGGCAATTTGATGTTCGTTGACATGTATGGATATATTAGTGAACGACGAGATCGTTACTATACCAAACAGGACGAACTTAGATTTTTTGCAGTTCAATGTAAGTTTTGATCAAGCCACTGGGAGATCAATTTAAGGTCCTCGTTTACGTATTTCTCGATGTCACTATAGCTGACTAGTATAAAACAATAATAAATAAAGAAGTAATAATTAAAAGCAATAAAGTCACACAGGAAGCCATTTTGAAAGCGTGTACGCAAGAAACACTGCAACACGAAAACTGTAGGCGTGAACCGGTCGAAAACAGTTTTATTTCTGAATTTTAATTAAACTGATATTTGGATATTTTATTTTATTCATTAAAAACTAAAACAATTTCGTCGAGGTGAATATTCACCGGTAATCACCACGCCTTCAGCGAATAATTGTTAAATAATATTAATAATAACAAAACAGTTGCATGCTCTATTGATGTGTGAAATGACTATTAAATAAAACTGTCTCATGCTGCCATGGCAACACTAACATTACCCAAAAAAATCGACACTTAATCAAAATAACTTGTTTTGTCAACAAAACGAAAAATGTAGTGAGAACCAAGCACGGCTTTCCATGCATTATTTAAGAAATAGAAAACGAGTCGCGCGCATTTATGGTGTGATAATGCGCGAGGGAAATGTTACACGTACACGCCATCTTCGCCCGCGCACTTAGAGGAGAAGATTACAATACGCTAGAGGTACATGTACACTGAAACTGGAGAACAACTGTGAGAAGCATTTTAATTCAACATTTTAATGTTTACCTTCCAAAGTCTTTTCATCAGAATCAATATCCGCATTATAGCCAGTTGTACAGGAGTTTGAATCACAATCGGAGCTAGAATCTGAACCTTAAGTGAAATAATCATCGTGTGAATTACTGTAAGACTAAAATGCTATTATATTACGTATTGTGTGTCTTGGTCGGTGGTAAAAGGTTGACATCCTTTTTGGTAAGTAAAATTGTCCAGCGAAAACTTAATATATAATATTTTAGACCTAATCGAAAGCAGCTGCGAAAAATGCAAAGATAACAATGGTCCTAGGGTAGAGCCCTGTGGGAGCCATATGTTTTAATTAACATCTTAGATTCAGTTTGTCCCATTTTAACGTACTGCTTTCTATTTCTAAATAGCTTTTAAACCACAACAAAGCTGTACCGTGGATTCTACGCATAAACCACAGGTGATTTAGGTGATTAGCTTATTGTCAACAGCATTAATTAAATTCTCAGTAAGCCTGAATAAATCAGAATACCATTTTCGTAAAAAAGCAACACGTATAACAAGAATTTCTCACCAATGTCAACAACCAACTGAGCGTTTCTTTAGTTTATGCGCACAATAAAAACAACCAATACGTCGAAACCACAAAATTCTATATCCAAACAACACTCCGAGACCTGCTATCAAAACCTAAAGACCCTGTACCAGCGTGAAACAAAATAACACAATACGCAAATCTCAAAAATAAAAAATTCTGATCATACTGCTCTGGAAGCTAGTTTATACGTTTCCTTATAATGTATGAGCGCCGTAATGGCTGTCTTTCTATTAGCTTGCTAATATTAAAGTTTCTTGCCGTCTAAATGGCCTTATATCAACTGAATTTATGGTTTGATGCACTGCCAAAGAATAGGATATGTTCAGTTGCTCAAGGAACTCGCTGCTGTTTATCAGGAAATTATGTAAAGTTCAAGCTGGTTGTCATTGTGTGTCGTTACACAAACCACAGAATATAATCTCGTCTGAAGTATGGAATCGCCTTAAATCAAACGACTTACTGAGGCAATATAGATGGAAACGTAGAGGTCGTATAAAGGAATTATATGTCGCTAGCACCAGAAATTGACGAAATCGCTCATACTTTAAAATCTAACAAGACAGACAACGCTCTTTTCAGTGAAACGAGGCTGAAAAACCTTGTCCCAAACGAAGCCATCAACATTGCCGGTTATCAATTATTTAGGCGGGACTGCAAAGTTAGAAACCATGGTGGCGTATGTCTTTTTTGTGAGTCATTCTATCTTTTGTCAGCCTCTTCCAGATTTGCAAAGTGAAGACCGTGAAGTTCTTTGGGTTTTTTTGCGACCAAACCGTCTTCCAAGGGGGTTCTCGAACATTATTACAGCAGTCGTGTACAACCCTCCTGATGCTCGTGACTTGTAAAAATCGAAACCACCTATGCCAAAAGTGCATTGATAATTGCAGTTGACTTTAATAGGTTTGATCTGAAGTCTACTGCTAAGCTTTTTCAACTCAAACCGGCTATTGACTTTCCAACTAGAGGGGCAAATACGCTTGATCAGATTTCACTAACCTATCAGAGTATTATTCCAATCCTACTAGTGCCCTGCCGTTTAGACTATCAGATCACCTGACATTTTTTATAAACCCCAGCGTCCGAAATAAACAACATAAAGCGCAGACAGCTGTTATCAAAGTAAGGGACAAACCACATCTAGCAAAATAGCAAGTGGTGGGTTGCTATTTACAAGAGATACCGTGGGCTGAACTGTTCTCGATAGAGCAGTCATGCAAGGAGAAATTAGACATTATGACGCAGATCACAATCTACGGTTTGAACGTTATCATACCAGAACGATCAATTAGAGATCAGACAACCGATCGACCTTGGATCAACAGCAAGCTAAAACCTTTGATCGCACGTAGACAAAAAGCATTTACATCAGGGAATGAGCATCTTTTCTAATTTTTACGAAATAAGGTAAATCGCGAACGCAAACGATGTTGCAAAACCTACTATCAGAATAAGGCCAAAGATCTGTGTGACACAAAATCGCAGGACTGGTGGTGGGAAGTTAAACAGCTCTGTGGAACCTCCAAAACGAACAAGCGTGACCTAAAGTCTACCCTCCACCCGGATTTGATCTACGAGGATAAGGAACTTAGCTACAAAATTAACGAAGCTTTTGTAAATGTAATGGAAAACTACTGAGCCCTGCCTGATGATTTGTGTGTGACCTGCAGCTTGGAGAATGACGAACCAATAATCATTACCGATCGGGTTAGTTATCTGGAGAAAATTCATAGAGGTTAGTCCCTGAAGGAATTTGTGGATATCTTGGCTTTTCCAATTGCCGACATCTTGAATACCTCTTTAAAGTACCTGATGTTTGAAACTTGCTGATGTTCCCCCTATACCCAAAGAATCCACCGACCATGATTTTAATAAAGATTTGAGGCCAATTTCTTTGACATCTGTATTGTCAAAAGTGGAAGAGAGCATAGTTATCGAAAGAGAGTTGAAACCAACCTTGCTATAAGACGTATTGACCCATGTCAATTTGACTTTATCCCAGATTCGTCAATTTCACTTGCCCATATATCCATGTTCCACCATTGGTTGAACGCTACGGATGGCACTGGCTCTTCTGTTAGAAATGTCTTCCTGGACATAGGAAAGCTTTTGATCTGGTAGATCACAAGTTATTGGTAGGTTATCAAACCTAGTATAGTTATCGATCGACTTTCTGAGAAACTGATGGCAGAGGGATAAGTAAAACTCCAACTGTTCTCCGATTGGTTAAAAGTCCCCGCTGGTGTACCACTAGGAACACGACTCGGACCGACCACATGGTTGTTTTTAACCATGATTAATTACCTTGCTTTGCCAGAGAAATCTTCATCCATGCGGAAATTTGCTGACGACACCACCATTTCTGAAGTCGTGCTACAAGAAGATATCAACCACATTTCCGAATGGTCAGAGGAAAACTTTTTGCAACTTAATCCAATCAAATGTAAAAACTTATTAATTCCTTCACAGGACTTGAAATGGAACGATCATGTGGACCAGGTCACTAATAAAGCTGCAAAGCGTCTTTACCTATTGAGACGGCTAAAACGTGCTGATGTGGAAACGGTCAATTTAATCAAATTTTATTGTAGCTGTATAAGATCCGTCTTAGAGTTAGAGTACGCATGCTAACTGTTCCATAATAGCTTTCCACAATATCTCTCAGACAATACTGAACGTATTCATAAAAGAGTAATGCGCATGATTTTCCCTAGTCTCACTTATACCGATTTCATTGAAAAAGCTGGTCTTTGCCCCCTGATGGACAGACGAGAACTCTTATCTGGCAAAGTTTTTAACGACATTGTTTCAAATAAAGAACATAAGCTTGCGGTACTTTTACCACCAAGAACGAGCTTTACTACAGTGCGATTACGCAAGAAGAGAACCTTTGAAATTCCTAATCTACGTACCAACCGTTTTAAAGTTCATCCATGATGTATTACAGTATGCGCAGAACCATTATAAACAGTTAACCTTTGGAAAAATAGAGTATATATAGAATCTTTTAGCAATTAAGCCTTCTCAATAACAAGATGTAAATTTTATACACATATGTAATTAAGTCATTTGACTGCAAAATGTTGTATTTTATTAAACGGTTTATCTATCTATCTCTATCAATATAACAATTGTGAAACTACATACATCATACAAACAAACGCATCTACACAAAAGAATCAGATAACATTACCCAGCAGCACGAAATGAACAAAAAACAATACCAATCACACCTTTAAATGGAACAAGTAAACGATTCTAGACCACGAACCGTCCAAAACTAAGAGACTCCCAAAATATTCCAGCAACTCGTCAATTTGAAGCACTTTGACAATGTATCCTTTGAGCAACCAATATCTGGCTTGGCAACCTACAATCCTGGTCAAAACAGTCTGCGACACTTTATTAAAACATTCCTCCGTGGCTTTTTTACTATTGGACCGGAATAATTTATACTCGTGTTGCTTTGCCTGAAAAAGTACTGGGCATTCATATTAAAAAGAGGTCTGCTGTTTGATATAAATGGAATACATCTCTCGTTTTACAGGGGCTTTGCAAATGTCGTTTTCTGATGTGGTTTGGGAGTCAATAACAAATTTCATCAAAACAACTTACCAGAATTTGCCATTAACGATCTTTCAGCTTGTACTGCATCAAAAAGTTTTCCAACTGTTAAAGTTCCCACGTCACAATCGTAGGGTTGCTCGCTAAAAAACATCAAAGATTGGATGTTACAATGTTTCGATAATAAAACCAATTATATAGAACAATTGTTGTTCGTATGTACATACCTAGACGACGTTCCGATAATCTCAGCTAACTCGTTGTGGCCATGTTCTCGTGCAGTTAATGCGATGTCTTTGCAATATCCGCTGCCTTTCTTCAAAATGCCGGGGATGAAACCAAGTTTTATTAAAGCACTAAAAAAGTGTTCATCGCCCATTTTTGCCATTGCATCGCACAAATCCACTAGCACTGGTATATCAACAGGACAATTCTTGAATTTTTGACTATGACGGTGATGATTTCCGGGAGCCTCTGCAAAGATTCAACAAGTACAGAGTTTACTTACTGTACACAGTAACATATATTCGGTACCAGTATTTAAATGGACATAGATCCCTAAAACATTTAAACTAAAAACTTTCCGGTCACTAAATTTCTCTATTAAAAAATATATAGCAAATTGCACTATTTCCTGGAATGGAACATTTCATAGTTCGCCAAATGAAATTATTCCTATCACTGCAATCATAGACTTTCATTATTTGCTTGATAGGAAACCAAGATAAATCATCGATATTGGATGATTTATTAAACTTTTACGGGAACATGCAGCGTCATGCAGAAATAACTTTGCTTTATATGAAAGTTTAGGGACCGGTCATTATTTATGGCGGGGGGTGGCACCGAAGAGAAAATGGTTGGGTAAACAAAATTTTGAGTTAGTAAAAGGTTGGGTAAATGAAAAACAAAACAACTCATGGGTTGAGTATTAAAAATTTATTGTCATTTCCAAAGCATGTCTTACTAAAATAGCGAGGACGATTGTAGGTTTCCATTTATGGATGGAGAGCAAGGCTGTATTGAGCGAAAAAGGAAAATCTTGTATATTTGTTGACTCTGTAATGTCTTGCTTCAGTAATAAAGTAGAGATATGGCGACTGTGCATGCACGAGCCATTTATAATAGAGCCTGTTGGGGCCTTAAATTATTAGTGGGGCAGCATCGTCGGTGGAAAAAGCATTGAAAGTGCAGCATCGATAGTGGAGAATGATGAGTGGGTTACAGTATACTGTGGGATCATACGTTTAACACGAACCGTATTTACCAGACCAGATCTAGGGTTGAAAACAAACAATCGAGGGAAACATAGTTGAAATAGGCATTTGCATGTTGTAATCAAATTCTACGAAAGAAGCTGGATGAAAAAAGGGCTAAATATATAAAATTAGCAGTAGAAATCCGCAAGCTAGCTATGACGATGGCGTGAATAGAAGATGATAGCGAGCTTAAACAAGGGACAATTTTGACAACACAAACGGCATGAGTTTTTAAGACTGGGTCAAGAATGTTGGTTGGTTGATAACGTCAAATTTGCTTCCGGTCAACGTTCGTGTTGTCAAAAACGTAGCTTTCTTAAGCTCGCGAATACTACTGGTAGTTGGAGTAACTGGAAATATTGGCAAAAACTTTGAACATGAACAGAAAAAGATCCCTGGAATCTCGGGAGAATCAGCAAGGAAATAATTTATTTAATGGTGCAGTGTACTCAGGTGAATATGATGCCTGTGATGTTAGTCTGAGCGGATATCCACACCGCGCAAGCTCGAAAAACATGCCTGGCCAAGGCGGGAATCAAACCTACGATTGTTATTTATTCAGTTATAAACATTATAAGGCATGATTTTTTCTGTGTTGGTGTAATGTACTCGGGTGAATATGATGCTTGTGATGTTACTCTGAGTGTATATATCCACAACGGGCAAGCTCGAAAAATATGCCTGTCCACGGTGGGAATCGAACGTACAGTACGACCTTTGGATACTAGTCCAATGCTCTGCCAACTGAGCTACGCGGTCGGTTGATTCGAGTATGTATGTATGTATGTATGTAAAACTTTATTTCAATACGCTAACTTCGACAATTATTTACAACTGGTTTCCACAAAGTGCGTATACACACAAAGAGCTAAATGTTAATTATATATAGAACAAAATATGTAAGAATCCCACCATAAAATTTTATCATCTTCCTCCCAAACCTCCACCCCCTAAACAAGTACCCACCCACCCTCACGCAAAACTAACCCCCCTCCCGCCCACAATCTATATTGTCCTCCCATCATTTGATCCTGGAGAAATTAGCTTATCATCTGCTTAAATGCAATTTCGCCATTGTTTTAAATGACGTAATTGACTCAGCCGCCTTGACATCTTGCGGGAGACTATTCCATAGAATTGCTCCACTGTATCCAAATGTTTTCTTTAGAAATTCCGTTTTCGGTTTTTTTAACGAGAGATCAGTTTCGCTATTGCGTAAATCATAAATATTCTGCGATGCATTTCTCCGAGAAAAAAGATCTTTAAGGTTTGGCGCAGTGTGGTTCCCCAAGACTTTATACATCAATACTAGCTTGTTTTGTTCTCGTCTCCTAGCCAGGGTTTCCCAGCCTAATTTGTTTAGGACTTCAGACGATCTTACATCGTAGTCAGCTCCGGTAATCACCCTTGCTGCTCGATTTTGGAATTTTTGCAATTTGTCTTGAAGTCCCAAACCACAGTTATCCCACAGGGGAGAACAGTAATCAAAATGAGGCTGAATTAATGTTTTGTAGACATCATGTAAGGTTTTGTGTGGAACATAAGGTTTTATTCTTTTAATTGCTCCTATTCCAGCGCTAATCTTATGGCATACAGAATCAATATGTTTCTCCCAACTTAATTTTTCATCTAGATTTACACCTAGACATTGAAATGTATTGGTTTGTGGGACTGGGATTTTGTTAATCTCAACGGGTCTATTTCCTATTTTATTATTTAGATTATGCGTAGATCCAATAAACATGACTTTTGTTTTTTTCCTATGATATTTTAGTTTGTTTTTAGCAAGCCATTTATGAATACTGGAAAGGTCCATATTCAAATTGTCAATCAATGTATCGTATCATAAAGACATGGGGTTGTCCTTTCTAAAATGTCAGGCATATCATTAATATATAGCAAAAACAATAATGGACCAAGTATGGATCCTTGCGGAATTCCGCATATTATTGTTCTTGCAGAAGAAGTTTGATCATTAACAGAACACACTTGCTTTCTATTCCTTAAGTATGATTGGAACCATTTTAATTCAATGTCGTGAATTCCAAACTGGATTTTAAGCTTCTCCAATAATATCTCGTGATTCACCGAGTCAAATGCTTTACATATATCAAGAAAAACAGTTGTTTTCCATTTATTTTGCCTTCATCCATGTCTTGTAGCCATTGATCACACATTTGTATAAGAGCACCTAAGGTTCCATGTTTTGGTCTAAACCCGGATTGAAATTTAGACAGAAGTGCATGTTTATTCAAAAAGCTATATATTTGAGTAAAAACTTCCCCTTCAAATATTTTACTTATTATGGGAAGAATTGAAACTGGTCTATAATTTTCGCATTTACGCTTATCCTCAGATTTGTAAATTGGTATAACTCTAGCTAATTTCCACTCATCTATATAAATACCAGTTCTAATTGATAGGTTAAATATAAAAGTTATAGAATTGGAGCAATAAGGGTTGATGTCAGTTTTAAAATATTCGCAGGTATTCCATCCATACCTGTCGCTTTTGAGACATTTAGTTTTTGTAGGCGTTTGGAAACACTATCTATAGTAATATCTGCGAAGTGAAAATTTTCTTTAGGAAGAAGCACAGTACTTTCATAAATTATTTGATCATTTAAAGCATCAGTGCTTTGACATGCTGATTCAGCAGCCATCTTCATTCCAATATTTATAAAATATTCATTTAATGTTTCAGTAATAGATTTATCATCAGAAATAATATCATCATTTACTTTCAGTTCATTAATATTTGTATTCTTATGCTTTCTTCCTAAGAGCGAATTTATCCAAGCCCATCCGCTTTTACTGTCTCCCATTTGAGAGCTTGCCTGGATTTTATCACAAAAGTACTTAGATTTTGCTTTCCGCATGTTTATATTTACTTCATTACGTAGTGTTTTATACAATTCCCACTGTGACTCCGAATCATATTTTATGGCCTTTTTTTTGTAATAGTCCCTTTTCCTCATAAGTTCTTTAATTTGAGGATTAATCCATGGGACAGGGTTATTCCTT